CCCACCGTAACTATAACAAATAACACATATGCCAATTGTCTTTATTTCCACTAACATCACACAGAAAAACTGTTTGCTGAACAAAATAGGATGATAACTGAAGAAATTATATAATGAACTCCAATTTATCACAAAACCAAATTTTAATATGCACATACATCTCTGTGATTTCCAACACCAACTGGGTGATGTGATTTCTGATGTTATGCTTTTGTCCTGCATCCTGCCAATGCCTGCTTTGTTCATACTTCCATGAAAAGAAATGTTGAAACACAATTATTCCATCTTTCATTACAGACAGGAAATCCACATTATCTTATGACACACCCACCCACATCATTATGCAATTGAAAATTAGAAACTGATGTCTGACTGACTCTCAGAGAATGACATACTGCAAGCCTAAATTAAAATGTGGAACTCTCTGTATAAGTACGGGTTGAACCTCCCAAATTGTACACACAGGTGGTTGAGGTAGTGATACATTTGCTTTCTGAAGGCTCGCGCACAATATTATTATGGCGTAAAATTACCTTCAGGCAATGCGTATGCGAAACATGACTGACGTTTGTGTTTAGATTTGGATCTTATCTCCAAAAGATCTCATTACGTATCTCCAAGTATTCCTCACTTGGAAATATGGAGCAACTTCTAGTCCCAACATTTTAGTTAAGGAATACCGAAGCTATAATTTTCTTATTTCATTGGTATTGGTGCCAGTCTTTGTTGTGTGTTGCTGTGAGTTTTCCGGGCTGTATGGCCATGTTCCAGAAGCATTCTCTCCTGATGTTTCATCCATATCTATGGCAGGCATCCTCAGAGGTTGAGAGGTCTGTTAGAAACTAGGCAAGTGAGGTTTATACTTATCTGTTGAATGTCCATTGTGGGAGAAAGAACTCTTGTCTGCTTGAGGCAAGTGTGAATGTTGCAGTTGATCACCTTGATTAACATTGAATTACCTTGCAGCTTCAAAGCTTGGCCGCTTCCTGCCTGGGTGAATCTTTTGTTGGGAGATGTTAGCTGGCCCTGATTGTTTCTTGTTTGGAATTCCCATTTTTTAGTGTTGTTCTTCATGCTTGTGGATTTCAGTGGCATCTCTGTGTAGTCTGACATGATAGTTGTTAGAGGTCCAGCATTTCTGTATTCTCAAATAATATGCTGCATCCTGATTGGTTCATCAAGTGCTCTGCTATGGCTGACTTCTCTGCACATCCACACTGTAGAATTAATGCCGTTTGACACTGCTTTAATGACCATGGCTCATTGCTGTGGAGTCCTAGGATGTGTAGTTTGGTGAGGCAGGTTTGGGAAAAAGATGATCTTTGAGATCATAACCTTTGGGAAAAACAGAATCCCCAAAGCCTTTTGGAAGTGTGACCTTTTGGAGATTACCTGGCATTCACTATCATTTGGAAAATCATAACCCTTTTGTAAAGCATGATCTTCCTGAGAAGAGTTAAAACTCTTTTGAGTTAGTCTTCTTTTTAATTGTAAATATCAACTAGTATTAATGCAAGTGAAATTAGGTTTCTCAGTTATTAGACTGATATACCTGGTTATCGCTTTGAACTGTTAGGAGGAACAATGAGTATGCCAATGCACAAAATATATAGCATATCTTCAGAAGTGTTGTTTCAGAGCCCCCAGTGGCGCAGTGGGTTAAACCCCTGTGCCAGCAGGACTGAAGACCAACAGGTTGCAGGTTCAAACTGGGGAGAGGTGGATGAGCTCCCTCTATCAGCTCCAGCTTCTCATGCAGGGACATGAGAGAAGCCTCCCACAAGGATGGTAAAACATCAAAAACATCTGGGCGTCCCCTGGGCAACATCCTTGCAGACGGCCAATTCTCTCACACCAGAAGTGACTTGCAGTTTCTCAAGTCGCTCCTGACACAACAAAAAAAAGTTGTCCAAAAATATCTACTATCCATAAAATATATTTGCTTTTAAATAATGCTCTCAAGAGACAAAAATAAGTAGTTTTCATTAAAAATAACATAGTTGGTTTACTTACAAACTTCATGTATTCAGCATACAGGTACATTGCTTATCAGTTGAAAGTTTAAACAGTGAATTCTTTAAGGCATTCTGTTGCAGACTCTTCTCTGTCTTATGTTTAATGCACTGACTGTACAATACTGACTAAACACTGACTTCTAAAATGGAGTCTGAGTCTGAATAGTTCCAGATCTGATCACATGGTCGGCAGCCCCTCCCACCACCTCAAACAACAGAGTTAAGAGAAAACTGTATACCAATACACACATTATACAATATAGTAAGCAATCTGAATTATATACATAACAAATAACTAGTATAGGAGGTTTGTAGAAGGTTGCTATTTCCAACAGGCAGTGGCATTGTTCAACAGAAAAACCAAAATAACTTGTAAAGCAGTGATTCTCTATCTGGGGAGGGTTCGTGGGTGGAGTGTCAGAGGGGTTGCCAAAAACCATCAGAAAGCACAGTATTTTCTGTTGGTCATGGAGGTTCTGTGTGGGAAGTTTGATCCAATTTTATTGTTGGTGGAGTTCAATTTGCTCTTTGATTGTAGGTGAACTATAAATCCCAGCAACTACAACTCCCTAATGTCAAGGTCTATTTTCCCCAGAATCCACCAGTTTTCACATTTGGTCATATTGAGGATTTGTGCCAAGTTTGGTCCAGATCCATCATTGTTGGAGTCCACAGTGCTCTCTGAATGTAGGTGAACTGCACCTCCATAACTCAAAGTCAATGCCCACCAAACCCTTCCAGCATTTTCTGTTTGTCATGGGAGTTCTGTGTGCCAAGATTGGTTCAGCTCCATCAGAATGCTCTTTGATTGTAAGTGAACTATAAGTCCCAGCAGCTAAAACTCCCAAATGACAAAATCAATCCCCCAAATAAATAAATAGAAATTATATTGCATTTAACAATATTTCAGTTACTATTTCTGACGTCATGTACTTATGAAGAATCTCCTGGTATATAGTAATTGTTATTTTGGAAGCTTAAGTTTTATTGTGTTGACAAAATATTGATAAACATTCTTTCATTTATAAACAGTTACTAATTAATCGTGTTAATGTTTCCACATTACGTTTAATGAAGAATTTCCTGTAATATAGAAATTGTGATTTGCAATCTGAAGTTTTTGTATTTGTTGTTATAGATATCTGTGCATGTTACACTTACACAAAATCAATTCCCCCCCCCCACCCCCACCAGTTTTCAGATTTGGGCTTATCGAGTATTTGTGCCAAATTTGGTCCAGTGAAATAAAATATAATCCTGCACATCAGATATTTACATTATTATTTATTAACAGTAGCAAAATTACAGTTATGAAGTAGCAACGAAAATAATTTTATGGTTGGGGGTCATCACAACATGAGGAACTGTATTAAGGAGTCATGGCATTAGGAAGGTTGTAAAGCTACAACATTGAGCCATGGCAAAGTGGTGTCAAGCTGCATTAATTCTCCAGTGTAGATGCTCCCTTGGGCTCGATCTACACTACCCTATATTCCAGGATCTGATCCCAGCTTAAAGCCTATTACAGGGGAAACCAGCTGATCCCTAATCCATCTAAAACACGGACATGTGCTTTTCACCTTAAGAACAGACGAGCATCCCAAGCTCTGAGGATTACCTGGGAAGGAATCCCACTGGAGCATTGCAGTGCACCCAAATACCTGGGAATCACTCTGGACCGTGCTCTGACCTACAAGAAGCACTGCCTGAATATCAAGCAAAAAGTGGGTGCTAGAAACAATATCATACGAAAGCTGACTGGCACAACCTGGGGATCACAACCAGACACAGTGAAGACATCTGCCCTTGCGCTATGCTACTCTGCCGCTGAGTATGCATGCCCAGTGTGGAACACATCTCACCACGCTAAAACAGTGGATGTGGCTCTTAATGAGACATGCCGCATTATCACGGGGTGTCTGCGCCCTACACCACTGGAGAAACTACACCACCTGACATCCACCGGGAAGTTTATTCATATCATGATCTGATCACCATACTCAATATATCCCATATGCATGGGGGTTTTGGGGTAACGATACAAAAGGTTTGCTAGGGTAGACCCTCTTTCACTCAGACTCAACCCCCCTGAAACAAACTCAGCCCCCCCCCCAATCAAAATCCTGGCTATGTGCTTGCACCACACTAAAACAGTGGATGTGGCTCTTAATGAGACATGCCGCATTATTACGGGGTGTCTGTGCCCTACACCACTGGAGAAACTACACTGGAGTATTGCACCACCTGACATCCCCGGGAAGTAGCAGCCAATAGTGAAAGGACCAAGGCAGTGACATCTCCAGCTCATCCCTGTTTGGGTATCAGCCAGCACATCAACGACTTAAATCAAGAAATAGTTTTCTAAGATCTACAGAGACACTCGCTGGAACACCTCAGCAAGCGAGAGTCCAAAAGTGGCAGGCTCAAATCCAGAACCTCAATCAATGGCTGATACCAAATGAGAGACTCCCCTCTGGGCACACAGAAGACTGGGCGACTTGGAAGGCGCTGAACAGACTGCGCTCTGGCACCACAAAATGCAGAGCCAACCTTCAGAAATGGGGCTACAAAGTGGAATCCTCGACATGCGAGTGCGGAGAAGAGCAAACCACTGACCACTTGCTGCAATGCAACCTGAGCCCTGCTACATGCACAATGGAGGACCTCCTTGCAGCAACACCAGAGGCACTCCAAGTGGCCAGGTACTGGTCAAAGGACATTTAATCAACTACCAAGCTTGCAAACTTTGTGTTTTGTCTGTTTGTTTTGTTTAAAATGTAATACAAATGTTCTTGTTGCTCCTGACACGATAAATAACTAAATAAAGCTGACCCTGATTGTTTCCTGTCTGGAATGATTTTACAATTCCTGAACAATAGACTTTTCCAGTGAGAAGGGAACAAAACACAAAATGCCCCGCTGGCTTTTGGGAAAAGGCAGTCCTGGGGTTTCCAGGCGATGCTGCGAATTAAGCGGAAAGCGGGGGAGTCCAAGGCAAAGACTGGGCTCTGCGAATGCCTAGACCGGCCCAGGGCTGGCCCTTCCCTCTTCCTGGATTAGACGTACATCAGAATTGCTTCATCAAAGAAACACTTTCACTTGTGAGTCAGTGGCTCTGTGACGCTTGTTTCTCTCTTCCTTTCAACCATTCGCCTTCTCTTCTCCGCCCCAGTCGCGACTGGGAATCGACTAAGAAGCGGGCAGCTCCTTGGCAGGATTAAACCCGAAGGAGTTCAGAAACAGAAGGAGGCAGGCGAGCGAAGGGATCACCGGCTCCTTAAAGGTACAGAGACAACTTGGGATGTATCTACATTGTCGAATTAATGCTTGAATTGCTGTGACATCACAGGAGTTGCAGAAAGCTAAAGACCTTGGAAGCTATGATTCATGGCTGGAATCACTGGGTTGTTGTAGGTTTTTTGGGCTATATGGCCATGTTCTAGAGGCATTCTCTCCTGACGTTTCACCTGCATCTGTGGCAGGCATCTTCAGAGGATGTGGGGTCAAAAGACTATCAGGATTCCATAGTACTGAGTTAAAGTGCTGTCAAGCTGCATGCCTGCTGCAGTGTAGATGCATCTATAGAAAGTATGCTAGTTACATTATTGTTGTGCTTTTCCCCTCAAACAGCTCACAACCTCTGGGGATGCTTGACATAGATGCAGGTGAAACATCAGGAGAGAATGCCTCTAGAACATGGCCATATAGCCCGAAAAACCTACAATACCTTGGAAACTTCTGTTATTCCATAGCATTGAGCCGTCAATTAAAGTGCTCTGGAGCTACAGTGTCCAGGCTTCTTTTGTTTCAAGAGTAACATTGTTTGCTTATTTCCAAATCTGTAATTTCTGTAGATGCATCTAGACCAGTGGTTCTCAACCTCAGGTCCCCAGATGTTTTTTGCCTACAACTCCCAGAAATCCCAGCCAGATTACCAGCTGTTAGGATTTCTGGGAGTTGAAGGCCAAAAACATCTGGAGACCCCAGGTTGAGAACCACTGATCTACACTGTAGCAGGAATGCACCTTGACAGCACTTTAACTCAGTGCTATGGGTTCCTGAGAGTTGTAGTTTTACAAAGTCTTTTGACCTCACAATCTCTGAAGATGCCTGCCACAGATATGGGCGAAACATCAGGAGAGAATGCTTCTGGAACATGGCCATACAGCCTGTTAAACTCACAGCAACCCTCTTTTGCCTTCTCTGCCCAAAAGTGCTGCTGCCTCACTACGATTCCCACGATTCCATAGCATTGAGCCATGGCAGCTAAAGTGGTGTCAGTCTAGATCAGACATGGGCAAACTTTGACCTTCCAGGTGTTTTGGACTTCAGCTCCCACAATTCCTGGCTGTTAGGAGCTGTGGGAGTTGAAATCCAAATCACCTGGAGGGCTGAAGTTTGCCCATCCTTCAAAGGATGTCATTGATTGAATCAGATGTGGTTGGTAGGAGAGATATGAAGCAATACAGCTGGTGTTGGGCACAACTTGTATACAGTGTGGGGTCAGATGAAATCAGCTGGGGCTGAAGGGGTTTCCGTGCTGAGGTACTTGGTGGAAAAGGAGAGCCTTAAGCTTTCTAGAGTGGAAAGGGAAGCTGAATCACAATGTAAAAAAAGCCCTGCGGTACCTTTTGGAAAGAAACAGCAACATTGTTGTTATGTGTTTCCGATTTATGGTGACCCTATTGCAGTGGTTCCCAACTTGTGGGCTGCGGCCCACTGGTGGGCCAGAAGACCTAAAGTAAAGTCTGTGGTCCTAGATTATTAAATATGGTTTTCTGTGGATGAGCAGATGGCGACTACTGGATGGCATATGTACTGTATCAGAAACTAGAGTTGATGTGGTCTATCCAATGCAATTTTCTGAATCAGCACTCCAAATAACTAAACCAAATCTAAAGTTGACTAAAAACTGATTTGTAGCCCTTTTGGAGCTAATGTTTGAGAGTGGTCCCTGGTCAAGTGGTCCCTGATCAAAATAAGGTTGGGAACCACTGCCCTAAGGGCACCCTATCACCTTTTTTTTCCTGACGAGCTTTGTTTAGAGGGTGTGTAGCTTTTGCTGCCCCCCCCCCCTTTTTTTTTTGCCCAAACAACCACACCATGCTGGTTCTCACTTATAACACTGGGCATATTTTATAGAGATGCAAGTGATAAACATTTCAAGGGGCCAGTTTCCGGATGAAATTATAATTTATAATTTCAGTTTCAAATACCGCTGCTATTGCGGATGAGAGTCCCAGCTGATGAGAATGCTTTCTTTATCCTGTTATCATGTATACATGCACATCTGCTTATTTTAGGGGGAATTCCAGAAATGTTGCTGTGTTAGCAAGTCTGTTTACAGAACACTGCAGTGGTCCCAAACAGGACACGAACACATTAGTTGGTGGCAGTTTCTGCATGGAATACTCTCCCCTCCTCCACACCAGATTGGGCAGCATCTGCCCATTTTTGCAATTAAAGGTATGCTGAAGATATAGCCAACAGTAGCAAAATTCGGGTATAAATTATTATTTTTTTCAGTCCACATATTTTTCACATTGCAATAACATAAAGCTTCAGTCGAGTGCTTAGAAATCTGGACCACACTTGGCATGCACACCCAACATGGCTAACTTTGAATACTGTGGAGACCAAATACTGTCAGGGTTTGGTGGGAATTCACCTTGAATTTTGGGAGTTATAGTTCACTTCAATCCATCCAGCATTGGATCTTGACCAGACTTGACATGCATATCCAACATGACCCACTTTGAATTCTTGCAGCATTTGGGGTGAGTTGAGCCATAATTATGGGAGTTGCTATTCACTCACGTTATACATTTTCTAATGGGGCCATTCATAAAAACCCAAACAAACAATGACTACTTCTAATATTTACCATTACAAAAGACCTTACCTGGGCAGCAGCAGGCATCTAAGATAATCGCAAATGAAAGAGTCTAGACAGGAAAGATTTCCCCTGCAAATAACTTGCTCCTATTTTTATCTCATTAGAGTTTTTTAATCGTTTTATCCTGTACATGTGGCCTGCCCATTGTTATTGTGATTGTGTTTATTGGAATGTTACTTTATGATTGTGTTTATAATTTTTTTCTTTCCTTTCTTTTATGTAATTTTGATGATGCTGTTTATTGTATTGTCGAAGGCTTTCATGGCCGGAATCATTGGGTTGTTGTAGGTTTTTCCGGGCTATATGGCCATGTTCTGGAGGCAGACCTCACTACCTCTGAGGATGCTTGCCATAGATGCAGGCGAAACGTCAGGAGAAAAATTGCCTCCAGAACATGGCCATATAGCCCGGAAAAACCTACAACAACCCGATGTTGTTTATTGTTTATGATTTGGTTTTATCTTGTTGTAATATGTTGTCTGGGCTTGGCCCCATGTCAGCCGCTCCGAGTCCCCATTGGGGAGATGGTGGCGGGGTATAAATAAAGATGTTATTATTATTATTATTTTCAAGGTCTCACTCTCTGCTGGAAGCATTATCCCCAACCTATAGCTACCTGCCTCTGTACCCATTTAGGCAAATCTTTCCAGTATAATTCCTCCTCCTCCTCTGCATTTATATTACAAATAATAATGTAAAATATTGTGCATCGATTTCATTAATTTTATATTGTATACTTTATGATTGTTGGACAGTGTCATGAAGTTTTTAGTTGTAACTAGTTTGTCAAAAACTCATAAGTAAACAGGTCGTCTTGTGCCACCTTAAAAGACTGAGGCACAGATTCTGTGCACACTGTTGCAATTGTTGTTGCTGTTTTGTGTATTTTCAGGTGGTTTCTGACTTATGACAACCCTATGGTGGTTTCTTCACAAGCTCGTTTAGAAGTCTTTGCCTTAGCTGTAGGCAAGTCCCCTTGAATTCAGTGGGAGCCATGGTTTAGCAAGCATGCATTGGATCACACTCTGATATATTTATTCCTGCATTGGTAGATCCAGATTCTGGAAGTGTTAATTATTCTTCTAAGAGTAATTGTATTATGGGAAATATCTTCAATATTATTTTTTTCCTGAATAGTCAAGCAATGCGAGACACTGCAACCATTGACACAGTAAGGCATATAGCACAAACAAATTCAACCCAATCAGATGGGTTCAGTTAGTTTCAATATCACTCCTTCCCTGCTAGCAGCCACTCACGAGCAATAAGCATGAGCAAGACTGATATTAGAAAAACATGTCTATATGGGATAACCACGGCTACACAGCGTTAATAACTGCTCTATTTTGTTCTTATGTTCACTTATGTTATTGCCTTATTTTATTGCATTGTTATTTTTGCTGTTTTGTATTCATTATATTGTAATTGCATTATCAGGCTTGGCCTCGTGTAAGCTGCCCCAAGTCCCCTTTGGGGAGATGGTGGCGGGGTATAAATAAAGATGATGATGATGATGATTATTATTATTCTTATTATTACCATACAACTCCCATGTTACGCCAGCTCCACTGGCTACCAGTTTGCTGCCGGGCACAATTCCAAGTGCTGGCTTTGGCCTATAAAGCCCTAAACAGCTCCGGCCCAAATTACCTGTCTGAACGCATCTCTCCCTATGAACTATCACAGAGATTAAGAACCTCCAGGGAGGCCCTGCTTTCCATCCCGCCACAGGCACGATTGGTGGGGATGAGAGACAGGGCCTTCTCGGCGATTGCTCCCCGGCTATGGAACTCCCTTCCTGGTGAGATCAGGTTGGCCCCCTCTCTCCTGTCCTTTAGAAGGATGGTAAAAACTTGGCTGTGGGACCAAACTTTCAGGGCAGGGCAATAAAGCAGCAATAGGAAAGATTACCAGGCCAATTAGATTTGACGTGGATGACTAGGGCGGTTTTAAATGGTGTATTTTAATATTTTGATAAATGTTTTTAATGTTTATGTATGTATATAAGAATTTGTGTCCGGGTATTGAATGTTTGCCGTATATATGCCCTGAGTCCCCTTCAGGGTGAGAAGGGTGGAATATAAATGTTTTCAATAAATAAATAAATAAACTTTGTATTGGGGTGTCAGTAACTGCATTTTTAATTTGTTTATGAATACTAGATGGAGGAGCATTTCTATAAGGAAATGAATTTGAAGCCAGGGATTTTGAGGAAGTCGGCAGCCTTGACCAGAATATGCTATTTTAAAGTCCACTTTGGCAACAAGAGCGCAATAAGTAGAGTGCCTCTCAGGGAATACCTGATAAGCAGAAACAAAGGCGGCTTTGTCATGGAAGCAACTTACAGGTTGCCAAGAAAAATGTTTATAACTCTGTTGTGTGCACGT